ATATATATATATATATATGATGAGGGTTATAATAACACTAGTGTAACTTTTATTAAGTATTACACCGCTCAATAACTTGATATTAATTGTGAATTTTGTAAATCAAACCGGTAGATTGAAAGTTCATATCACTTTATATGTGTATATCAAATTTTGTTAAAATGGAATAACAGATTGAAGGTAATCAAAGTGTTTATATTTTAGTATATTTTGAAATGAATATATTACGTCAATTTTATTTTATAAGAATGGAGTATCAAATCATCTTGGATTAATATAAAATTTTGTATATATGATCTAAGAGTAAAGAACTTTCGATCTAACGGTTAAATTTATAAAATTTATATTTAATATAAAGTTATTAAATGGTGTAACAATTAATAAAAGTTACATCGGTGTTATTATAACCCTCACATATAAAGTGATATGAACTTTCAATCTAACGGTTGAATTTACAAAATTAATTCACAATTAATATAAAGTTATTGAACGGTGTAACAATTAGTAAAAGTTACAGCGATGTTATTATAACCATCACATATAAAGTGATATGAACTTTCAATCTAACGGTTGAATTTACAAAATTAATTCACAATTAATATAAAATTATTGAGTGAAGTAATATATACTTAGTAAAAGTTACTCCAGTATTATTATAACCCTCATATATACATACATACACACATACACACACACACATATATATATATATATAGGAGGGTTCAAACGACACCGGTGTAACTTTTACTAAGTGTTACACCACTCAATAACTTTATATTAATTTTGAATTTTGAAAATTCAACCGTTATATTGAAAGTTCATATCTCTTAGATCATATATATCAAATTTTGTTAAATTTGAACAACAACTTGAAGGTAATCAAAGTGTTTATATTTTAGTGTATTTTGAAATGAATATATTACGTCAAATTTGCTTTATGAGAATGAAGTATCAAATCATCTTGGATTAATATAAAATTTTGTATATATGATCTAAGATATATGAATTTTCAATATAACGGTTGGATTTTCAAAATTCAAAATTAATATAAAGTTATTGAGTAGTGTAACACTTAGTAAAAGTTACACCGATGTCGTTTGAACCCTCCTCATATATATATATGTGTGTGTCAAAATAGAGTATTAATTAAATCCAATTCCAGTAACTTATTACCAACGTAATTGCCAATGTAATTGATATTAAGACAACGTAACTGCCAACGTAATTGATATTAAGACAACGTAACTGCCAACGTAATTTATATTAAGACAACCTATTTTTATTTTCCTATAATACCCGTCCAACACCTAAACGACTATTTTCCTGATGTGATCCAATGTATCCAATTATAAAGAATAAAGTCCATATAGTTATCACTTTCGTATTAGTGGATATATAGCAGTCATGAGAGGAAGAGAGAATTGAGAAGAGCAAATGGAAGAAAGCAAAGGAAGAGTTTGTGTCACAGGAGGAACAGGTTTTATTGGTTCATGGATCATCAAGAGGCTTCTTCAAGATGGTTACTCTGTTAACACCACTGTAAGATCAGATCCAGGTAATAGATCGAATTAAGCATCCCCATCTTAAATAATTATTTTGAAAATTGTTAATATTTCCCTTATTTGCCAAATTCTATTAAAAAAATTTAATTAATTAATCTATTTTTATAAAAATAAAAATAGATTAATTGAATTGAATTTAAATTATTCTATTAAAAATGATTTAATTAATTGATCTATTTTTATAAAATAGATCGGTTGAGTTGAATTTAAATTATTTACATTACACACCTTACTTGGGGTGCTTATCATTTTATTTGTTCTTTTGCATTTAATTTCATGACAAGAACCAATATTTTTTCTATTGTGCGGTTAGAAGATTATTTTAATAATTTTTGAATGATTTAAAAATGTTTCATTTGGGTAAAGCCCCAAAAGAAAAACCTTATCATTTATTATGTTAATCTATTTATTTTTATGTATGATCGATGTGAAAATATCTATATTTTTAATTAATAAAAAATAAAAATATCTATATCGTTTACAGTAACTTTTAATAATTAATTTTTTTATATTATTGGTGCATAAAACATGTGTACTCTTATTTTTATTTATTTCGTTTCATTTTGTTTAACATTTTAGTTAAAAAATATATATTTTGATAATTTTTATAACATAATATCTACAAAATATTAAATATTTTTTTATCTATTATATCTTTAGAAAAATATAAAAAGAAAATAGTTGAAAGCAAATCTATCTAATATGCATGAGTATATTCACTACTAGAAAAATATCATTTTCCTGCGAATTTTCCTACAAAAAATATTCTCAGAAATTTTTTGTAAATTTTCTTGTAATAATAATTTCACAAAAATTTTTTACGAATTTATTTGTGAAAAATAATTTATAGATATTTCTTACAATTTTTTTTTTTTATGAAAAATAATAACCTACAAGAAATTTTTGCAAATTTTGCTATAATTTTAATGATCATAGAAAATTTTTTCATAGAAAAAATTTGCAGAAAATATTGTAAGAATTTTATTTTGTTTCTTGCAAATAACTTTTGGTAGAAAAATTTTGCGGGTAACTTTTCCTGCGAATTTTCTTACCAATTTTAATCTGCAAGAAAAATAAAAAAATATTTAAGTTTATCAGTTTAATATTTTAAAAAACTTTAAGTCGCACATCGTTTGAAAATAAAATAATTAAAGAATATATAAGTTGGGACAACACTTACCTTACGAGTTGATCTGTATGATTGAGTGTTAAGCTTCTAATTTACAATCTTAGAGTTTAAAAGATTATGTATTACATGTTGGAGGCATGGAAAAAAAAGTTTCGGGTGAATTCATTGTGAATATTTGAAAGCTGAAGAATTATTAATAGAATTTGTAGTAATTTTTTTTAATTTTTTTCCTAAAAAATATTCCTGCAGAATTTCTTCGGAAGAAATTCTTTTTTGCAGGAAATTTTCTTGCGAATTTTATTCACAAGAAATTTTACAGGAAAATTCCTTACGAATTTTAAAATTCACAAAAATATATTATCCACGAAGGTATTACCTACAGATAAAAATTTCGCAGAAAAATTCGTAAAAATAATGTTTGTTGCGAATTTTAATATAAAATTCGGAAAGAAAAATCGCATATAATAAGAAAATTTCTAGTAATGATTAGAAAACTTTATAATAATTACAATCTAAAACTTTAAACGTGGAAGAAAATGGAACTAGACAGAGCATATAATACTCCTTAAAATTATGTTTGGAACAATTGATTCCCATAATCAAGATACTAATAATCTTTATTTTCAAGGTATAGTAGGACACAAGAAGGATGTTAGCTTTCTTACAGGCTTACCTGGAGCATCCCAAAGGCTACAAATTCTTAGTGCTGATCTCAGCAATTCAGAAAGTTTCAGTGCAGCCATTGAAGGGTGCATTGGAGTTTTCCATGTTGCTACCCCAGTTGACTTTGACTTAAGGGAACCAGAGGAAGTAGTGACCCAAAGATCCATTGATGGTGCACTTGGCATTTTGAAGGCATGCCTCAATTCCAAGACTGTGAAGCGAGTTGTTTACACCTCTAGTGCCTCTGCTGTGATTTACAATGGCAAAGAAGAGGAAGTAATGGATGAAAACTCTTGGAGCGATGTTAATTATCTTAGAACTTCAAAGCCATCTGGTTGGTCCTATATGGTTTCAAAGACATTGACAGAAAAGGCAGTGCTTGAATTTGGAGAACAAAATGGATTGGATGTTGTCACACTAATTCCAACTTTTGTTTTTGGACCCTTCATTTGTCCAAAGCTTCCTATCTCAGTTGATGCCATATTGAATTTTGCATTTGGTACGTGACACCAATATGAAAAGGAAATCTTAGTCGTTCAAATTAGCATGCATTAGTCATTCACCAAAATTTTGTTTCATTTTAAGAAAAGATAGATATTCATACAACACAACTATATTTATGTTCTGGCTTTAGTTCATCAGATGGTAATGCTGACGTTTCCATTTTGGCCTAGTGCTTATGCTTAAGATTCTAAATAAGGGGAAATTTATGTAGGCAAAAAGGGATCATTTGGTTTGCTAGTTCAGACACCTATGGTGCATGTGGATGATGTGGCTAAAGCGCACGTATTTTTGCTGGAGCATCCTAATCCAAAAGGGAGGTATAATTGTTCACAATGTTTGGCAACTTTTGAAAGCATATCTGAACTTGTTTTTGCCAAATACTCAAAATTTCAACAGCCAACATTAGAGTGAGTTCCTATTCTTCTTTTCGATCGAAGTTGTTATGGCATTCTTGATTTAACTAAATGACTCTTCTTTGATCTCATTGCAACAAATATTTGATTATATCTTTTTGTAGCTCTTTGAAACAAATTGAAGGTGTCAAGGTACCAGATTTATCGTCAAATAAGCTACTAGATGCTGGATTTGTGTTCAAGTATGGATTAGAGGAAATGGTTGATGACGCAATTCAATGCTGCCATGAAAAGGGTTACCTATAAGATAATTGTGTGGTTTTTCTATGGTTTTTATTTTATTTTATTTATGTCAGGATATGCTTATCCATATATAATAAGACAATAAATATCTATGTACTAGATGGTTGTTTAAGCTAATAATTAGGTCTTAAATGATTCACAATAGAAACTGATTATCTCAAGTCTAAATTTTCTATGGTTTGTATTGAAACAAATTAAATAATAATAATAAAAAAGTTGTGTTAAGAAATAAATTCCACGTGAGATGTGTCAGTGGTTTTAAATTGCGGTTGCAGTTACAGTTGTAGTTACTGCGATTGTAGGTATTGCAAGTATTGCGATGCAGATTGTGGCTATTGCGATATGAAATTATTAATTATTTGCACTAAATATAAAAAAATTGTAATTATTGATATATATTTTATTTTTAAAGTGTACTATCTGTACTGCCATGCCGAGCTCGAGCTCGGCACAGCTGCGTGGAATGACCTCGGAACACGCATTTGGAGACCTTAGTCTAAACGAGATCCGCAATCCAACCAGATCATAATATCGATCTCAGGAGATCTCGGTCCAAACGAGATCCGCTATCTAATTAAATCATAACTAATCTCAGGCCCAAGGCCGAACGCAACCCTAACTCACACTAAGGTACGTGCATTACTTATACGAGACATCTACTCATACAAACCCTAACTTTAGCATTAAAGTCTCTTTTGCAGGTACCACCCCCATCTTGGAACACGAACGTACCCGCGAAGGAGGCTCACCAATCTTATTCGGCGGATCACCTCTACAGCAAATCTCCGGTAAGAACATTTGGCGCCCACCGTGGGGCCGATCAAGACAGCTCTTATCGGCCACGCTTATGGTATTCACCAGAAGCCATAGCAGACGCGCAACAGACGACGCAGATCACACAACTACCATGGATAACGAAGTCACATTGAGGAGACTGATTGACCAGGTCAAACAGATGCGGCAACAACACGATGCCGATCTGCGAAACATGCGTGCCCAGCACGAAACCGACCTAGCGGCGATACGGACTGCCAATGAAGCTGACCTAGCGACGCTACACGCTGAAAATGAGCGGATTCGCGCCCAGCTCCCTCGACGCCCCTCTGATCATCCTTCTGAGTCGAGCAACCTCCACGAGGAAGAAGAGCACTCGGTCTCTCAGCCCCGAACTGCGACTAGGGCACCGACTCCATGACCTGCCACGCATCGGTCTCATGTACCAATGAACAAGTCGGCCCATGAAGTCAGCAAGGCCCCAACTCATGTCACGGGGGGTCAAGCAACCTTCCGCCGTCATCCCTTGTGGATGGCATCATGGAGACACCACTCCCTCAAGGGTGGAAGCCTCTCCACCTCGATCGCTATGATGGCACGACGGACCCCGATGAGCACATCGACCTGTATACGACACAGGTAAACCTCTACACTAACAATGATGCTATTTTGTGTAGGGTTTTTCTAACCTCGCTCAAAGGGGTCGCGCTCAACTGGTACACCTAGCTTCTCGCTGAGTCAATCGACAGTTTCAGCACTCTGGTCAGGCGATTCACGGCGCAATATGCAACGAGCCGGCCTCACCACATAACCTCAGCTGCCCTGGCCAGTCTCAGACAGAACGACGACGAGCCACTCAAGGCATTCATGGAGCGATTTGACGCCACCTCGGTTAAGATCAGAAATCTGAACCCCGAGGTCGCCCTGCATGCCATGCTCATGGCACTCAAGCTTGGGCCATTCGTCGACAGCCTATGCCGTGAAGCTCCTCGTGACATGGACGAGCTCCGCGCCTGCGCTGCGGGCTACATCCAGATGGAGGAACACTCCGCCTTCCGTGACCAGGTTCGCGGCAAAGGACTAATTAAACCAGCACAAGGTCACAAGGACAAGATCAAGGTCAACAATGATAGCCAGTTCGAGAAGTCGGCTAGAGTAGACAGAGGGGGGAGATACGACTTCTATACTCCCCTGAACACGCCCTGAGTACATATCCTGGAGGAGGCCAGTAATAGCAACCTGCTCACCCTGCCCCCGCCAGGTCACACCCCCAACAGTGCCGACAAATCCAAGCACTATCGGTACCACAGGAATCACGGTCACACCACTGAGGAGTGCCGCCCCCTCCGAGACCGTATTGAAGAGCTCATCCAGGCAGGCCACCTCGGCCAATATATCCAGCGACAGCAGGGTCATCGAGGAGGCCATGGTGGACGAGGACGAGGCAAAGGTCGTGGCGCAGGAGCTCGCATGGACCAACCCTCTGGCTCCCAACAAAATGCCAGCAGAGCAGTGCAAGTCGAGGTAAGCCAGGAAACAGGGTCAGCTCCCCTACGGGGAGTAATGAATACAATTGTAAGTGATTTCGCAGGCGGAGGCGCCAGCAGCTCAGCCCGGAAGAGACACCTGCACAATATAAACAGCGTCCATTCCACTACCTCGGCTTCACACCAGAGCTCGCCGCCGATCACCTTCACCGACGACGACTATGCTGGTATCAATCCCAACCAGGATGATCCCATGGTCATAGTCGTGGAGGTAGCTAATTGGGAGGTTCACAAGACACTGATATTAAAAAATTCAAAAATCACATGAAATTGGAATCAAATGACCGAATCAAAAGAATCACATAGAAGAAGACTCAAACAAATCAAAATTGGCACAAGTAGAATCCTAGACACAAGGTGATTGCAAATTGAACAAAAGTGCAATCACGCCTCTTGGATCTATCAAATATTTTCCAAAATTTAGATCCAAACAAGGAAACTCAAATGTGACAATTTAGAACACAAGATCTAGCAATTCAAATGGTGAAAATAATCACCTAACCTCAAAGAATGAAACCATGCTCTAGATACCAAAAATGATGGAGTGAGGGAGGAGAAGTGATAGTTGATCTTCCCTTGCCTTACTCCTTCAACAAAATCTTCTTCCTTGAGTCTTGAATCCGGAATGTTGAACTAGCTTGAGGACAATTTTGGAGTGAACCTAAACTAAGAAGGAAGCACTCAAGCTAGAAGCACAAAGGAGTGCTCACGGCTAGACCTAGAAGCTCTAGGATTCCTAAAGCTAAATAAAGGAACTCGATGACTTTTGGAGAGAAAATGGCTGAAGTGAATTTTCAGATTTCTCAAATTGCAAAAATGAATACAATAGTGAAGGTAGGCTACTTAATAGGCACGAATCAAGCCTTCTTGGTGTCAAGTCTTATGGCACACAATTGGCGCCCAAAATTAGAATTCAAATGCAAATTTGAATTCAAATTTTCAGCCCCATGTGCATGTCTGTTAGGCATGGAAACGGGGCGGGGCGGGTACGGGTTTGATGATACCCGTCCCCGTCCCCGCGACTAAAACCCATACCCGTCCCCGTCCCCATACACAATTGGGTTGTTTGTCTATCTCATATTTTAATCAAGAGACTTCTTAATAATTAAACAACTACAAATATTTCACATCATAATAAATAACTACACATAATTAAAATCTTATAAATTAAACAACCACAAATGTTGAGTATTGTCACAAATAAACAACCACAATGTTGAGTTCAAATAACAAAATAAATTGAAATTTCTCAAATAAAAATTAAAATTCATCTTGCAAGTGGAAAATGTTGAGTGTCATTAAGCTTCAATCCACCTATCATAAGACAATTTATAAAAAATTAGAATTGAGTTATGAATGAAAATTTTAAAAATTAGAATTGAAAAATTAGATTGGACTAATGAAATTGAAATCCACTTACAACATATATTAATTTTGCACATGTTCAGTAATTCCACTTGCATGCAATCCACCTGCATACAAAAAAGATAAACTTTAGATATGATAAATCAAATTGAAAATTTGTAATATTAAAATATAATATACCTTCATCATCAGATTCACTTTCACTCATTAAAGTAATTTTTTCTTTAGTGGCTTTAGCACCTACAAACATCAAATATAGAATATTAATTAGAATTGATACAAAATTACTAATTGACCATTAATGCTAATTTATTTTTTATTAATTTACCTAGATAGTCTGAGTTCCATAGCCAACTTTTAGTACACATCAAAGCTTCTACGGTAGTATGATTAAGTCGACTACGATTAGGACTTAATATTTGACCGCCAGCACTAAAAGCAGATTCAGAAGCTACAGTAGTGATTGGAATGGCTAAAACATCCCTTGCAATTGCTTGAAGTGTTGGATACTTCAACCCATTTGTTTTCCACCATGATAAGATATCAAAATCCGATGTAATAGGTAAATTATCTTCCTCCAAGTAATAATCCAACTCTGCATTTATCATTGTTTTGCTTCTGCCATTTAGGTGCTTAAGCCTTGTGTTATACCTTCTAGATAATGGTTAAGTTTGTGTCTTTTGGTGATGGAGTGAGGGAGGTGAAGTGATAGTTGATCTTCCCTTGCCTTACTCCTTCAACACAATCTTCTTCCTTGAGTCTTGAATCCGGAATGTTGAACCAGCTATGAGGACAATTTTGGAGTGAACCTAAACTAAGAAGGAAGCACTCAAGCTAGAAGCACAAAGGAGTGCTCACGGCTAGCCTTAGAAGCTCTAGGATTCCTAAAGCTAAATCAAGGAACTCGGTGACTTTTGGAGAGAAAATGGTTGAAGTGAACTTTCAGATTTCTCATATAGCAAAAGTGAATACAAGAGTGAAGGTAGGCTACTTAAATAGGCTCGGATCCAAGGCACTTGGCTTCGCAGGACTGAGGCTGGCTCGCGACGTCGGAGCCCGAAGAGTGATTTGCAACAGCGACTCGAAGCTCATGGTGGAGTAGCTCAGTGGGACGTACCAGGCAAAGAATACCCTTCTACAACGGTACTTCCACATCGCATCCCATCATATCTCGTCCTTCGACGAGTTCACCATACAACATGTGCCGCGAGAACAAAATGCCCGAGCCGATCTCCTGTCAAAACTTGCCAGCACTAAAAGGCCTGGACAGCACCGGACTATCATTCAGGAGACTTTGCACTCAGCTATCCTGGACGACAAGGTCGTCAACGCTAGCGACAGCGAAGACCAGGGGTGGATGACAAGCATCTGGAGTTACTTGAAAGAAGGAACCTTGCCCGAGGATAAGGACGAAGCTCGGAAGGTGAGGATGAGATCGGCTAAGTTCGTCATTATCGGGGATGAGCTATTCAAGCGTGGCATTTCCATCCCATTGCTCAAGTGCTTGACCGCGCCTCAGGCAGCTTATGTCATCGAGGAAATTCACCGGGGC